GTAATATTTTTATATTTCGATTTTTCAAATGTACTCTTCAGTTGGCACTTTTTGAGTCTTAAGTATAAGATGATACACACCACAGAAATATGTTCTATATGATGAGAGGCAAAGAATGTATGTTGCTGTATTTTTTTGTTTCTGGAGAACCAGTTATGGCCACAGGGCTAAATATTGTATTATCCTGCCTACAGAGTTCATTGACAAAACAGGATAGTGAAATGGAGAAAGTGTGAAAGGGAGAAAGTGTGAGAGAAAAGTATGAGTGCATCATGGTAAAAAGGAGGTCTAAGAAGAAACAGATGTAGTTAACAACAGAAGAGTTAATAATTGAGTGAGTAGTTTTGGCCCTCCTTTGACAAAGCACCTATTTCTCATTGCAGGCTTAAGCTTAATTTTGTTGTTGAACAAATCTGGGCCCTAACTTTTGGAAGAAAAGACTAGGACACATTTTCAGTGTTCTGGAAAACAAGGGCAAAGTAGTTTTTTGCCTGGCTATGTTAGTAGAAGAACAAGGAGAAGTCAGATATAAAATACTTAATTCTTAACTATAACAAAACCTCCTGGGAATTGTTGTTTCGCAGGTATCTTTAGTTATTTACCCTGTTTCTTGGAATTGCCAGTTATTTGCCATTCTAGGCGAGTCTCTCTAGAGAAGTGATCACAAAATGAGCTTACTATATTCTTGCCATCTTGTTGCTAAGTAGGCCATTGACTATTTCTAGAAAGGACAATATAAACCCAAAGAAAAACAATTAATATAGAAGAGCTTGAAAGAAATGAATCCTGGCAGTTGCTTCTAATGTCTTTAGTAAAATAGATCTTTCATGTTTCAATGGCTTATGAGTCCTAATCATCATGATTTTTTTAATCTAATAACTGTGAACAGCTTGTGATTCACCATTATAAAACTAATGTCTCCCAGCAATAACAACATGACTGTAGACTTAGTCTAAGGTGGGAATCGTGCCAAAACCAATTACACTTTCTGCATTATCCACTGGATCGCCATTATATATTTGGAAATACCATCCCCTCTCCCTCCTGCTCCTGAGAGCCCAAATGTCTCAGAACAATTGCAAGCATTTGTCTCGCGACAAAGTCTAAATGCTTATTTTTAGCAAGTTTTTATTACATAGCATAGGTGCCCTCACACTTATCTTTAGAAGAATTTCACACACAAAAGCACAGCACTGAGGTTCTTCAGTGTTCAACTGTGACACTGATCACTGCTGATGAAAATTTAGTTTTACCTGGATTAAAGTTGATCCTGATTTTTCTGGCTGACCCACATAGCTTAATAGTTGCTAACGTGTGTTATGTCCTTAACCTCAAGATTTGTGTTAGAAAGAGTTTTGATCTCACATCCATGGGGCCCTGGTTGAATTAATGAGAGTTCATATCTGTGTGACAGGTTTCTTAATAATTTTAAAATATAAAATGTTTTTGCTTTTATCTTAGTATTTGTCAGCATTGAGTACACGTGTGTGTGGAATGCAGCTTTTAAGCTGCAGCTCCTGTATGTAGCTAGAACTACAGTGACTTGACTTACCCAGCTGGAGGTGGTGCTTTGTACTTGTCTCTCATTTTGTGCAGGAGAGGAGATCAAAATTCCAGTTTTACCCGTCTTCCCCAGAAGACGACACATACATGTAAGGACTGGTGATTTACCCAGGTGTAAAGATTATTAAATGGAGATCCGTTTGCTGTGTTAATCCCAGAGAACTGTGTTTGGTCAATAGGCAGTAAGTGACTAGTGAAAAGAGGTAGTATGAGTTTGTGCCATGTCAGGGAGGATGTTCAGGTTGAAAGAACAGCATTTTTCTTCTGAAGAATAGGCTGGGTGCACATTTGTGTCGCTGAAGGGGTACAGAACTCTTTCACACCTTTGAGTGCAGGCCAGTGGTATTAACAGGTCTGTCCTGTGGGTGGAAGGTGGAATAGCACCTTTTGCTGTGTCTTGAGTCCATCCCAGCCAGCAGCCAAGCGCCCACACAGCTGCTCGCCCACTCCCCTCTACCCCCAGTGGACAGAGGAGAGAATGGGAAGAGCAAAAGTGAGAAAACTTGTGGGTCAAGATAAAGACCATTTAATAAGTGAAGGAAAGAGGGGAAAAAACCCCCCACCCAACTGGTGCAAAGGCAATCACTCACCCCCTCCTACAAGCAAACTGATGCCCAGCCAGTCTCCAAGCAACAGCCACCTTGGAATTCAGAGGCCCCCACTCTCTTCTTCCTCTACCCCAATTTAATGGCTGATCATGACATTACATGGCATTGAATATCCCTTTGATCAGTTTGGGTCGACTGGCCTGGCTGTATCCTCTCCCAACTTTTTGCCCACCCCACCCCCCAGCCTACTCGCTGGGACAGGCAGAGGAAAAAAGAGAAAGCCTTGACGCTGTGCAAGCACTGCTCAGCAATAGCTAAAACACTGATGTGTTAGTAATGCTGTTTCAGTCACAAATCCAAAACACAGCACCATACGGGCTGCTCTGTGGAAAGTGAATGCCATCCCAGCCAGACCCAGTACATGCCCACAGTTCGTCTTTGAAGCCTGGCATAAATAATCTGGGCTCTTTTTATTTGCTATCACAAATAATTGTGATGATTTTTTTGGTTTTGTTTTTTCCCAAGTGTAGTGTTGTTTTTTTTTCTAAATGGAAGTTGAAATCTATTTAGTTTCATGAGTTGAGGAGCAAGGACAGAGCCTTAACTAAAACTTGCCAACAGCATGGGCAGATTGAACTTCATTACCCCAAAGATGTTTAGCTGAGGCCAGACAGGTCCAGATCTCTCCAGTGTCAGGAAAAGGAGGGGAGAATAGGGGAGGAACTGAAACAGAGACTGGAGTACAGTGCTCCAGAGAGCCGGGCTTTTCTCTCTTAGGGGTGGCGGTGGTTCTTCCAAGAAGGCACCACCTATGGTTTTCAAATTTTCTGGTGCAGGCAACTGGCCCTGGTTGTTGGCTGTTGTAGGCAGCGTTATTTCATCTGCTGAAAACTGTTGACTGGTGACTGAAGAAAAGCAGTAAGTGTGACAGGAGATGTGCTAACATCCTAGGAGTCAGCAATACTGGCTGACTTTTTTATTTTTCAGTGATCCTGGGATGACACTGTTGTTGTCTCTATCACCTTACATGCAGCATTAAAATGCTTTAATACAGAAGATCACAGTAGTGTGCCAGTAACAGTCTTCTGTGGAATTCTTGCCCAGGGATCCAAATGTAAATTGGTGCTTTATTTTAATGTGCATTTTTGAAGGTGGGTTATGAGACATTAACACCTTTATTGTAGCAAGTTCAGAAAGTATTTAGCCTTCACTGCAGATGGGAAACAGTTGTTCATGAGCATGTGGGGAGGTAGTGAGTTGGTTTTGTCTCAGCAAGAGTGTAGTGATTTGGAATAGAACAAGGAGTTCCAGTAACTTAAACAGAAAAGCTATTCAGAAAATTCACAGCCTTTTTCAGAAACCTTTGTTCAACATGAGCAGTGTTATACCCATAATACACTTGAGATAAATATTTCAACTTTATATAATGATTTGCAGTTGGAATAGAAGAGGTCTGACCATTTTGTACCCTACTGCTGGAAAACCTGCAGCATCCTTTTGTAAAGGGATATTACTCATCAAGCTTTTTAATTGCTTGTATTCTCTCACCTGAGGTGACATTCTGACCTAATTGAAGTTAATAGGTGATAACTGTTGAAACTGGCAGACTCAGAATTTCACCCATACTGTTTAGGTGCTTTTAATTGGAGTATAGAAATAATTAGAGTATGAGAGATGACTGTGGTACCAAAGACAGATAGGCAAAGCCATGAAAAGAGAATAGCAATGAATAATAACATGCATAAAGGGATGTTATTTTTTTAAAATTAAAGCTGCGATAGCTTTAAAAGAGAAAATATTGTATGAATATTAATTCAAATCTGAGAAATTTTAAAAATAAGTCAACTTATTTTTGCCCTTATGTGAATTATATTCAAGAATAGGTGCACTAAATAGCTGGGCAAAATTAGCTTCAATTACACTGTGATTTATGTTTATAAAGCAGGTCAGGTGTAGCAGGGATTGCAATGAGGCTGACTTGATGCTTTCTCTAGAAGGATGTCTCTTATTCAAGGTGACTATGTGCAAACCAAAGAATGCTTAGGTGATAAATGAGAATTAGAGATGAACATTTCCTTACTGTACCCTGGTTGTAGAACTTAGGCACTAGTATAACCTGCAGTGTCAAGCAGAATGACCCAGAAGAACTAGCTCTTTTACACAGGCTGTGGTGGTCAGTAGCATTCATCAGTTGGCTTGAATTGTCTCCAGTGATAAAAAGTGAATAATCAGCATGTTATTTACACCTATGAGGTTATTCTTTCTTCAGCGTGACTGCAAGCGTCATCCAGAAGGATCAGCTTTTGCTGAGTCTTGCAAAGCAGGAATTAAAATAACACCTTGAAATGGAAGGATTTTAAAGCAAATCAACTTCCTACTTTTCTGCTGTTAATAGATTTGCTTCTAGTTTTGGCTTTATATTTCCCCAAATGGAAAGTTGTTTAAGGCATTTTGCAAAAATCTCAGTGAATCTTGACCTCAAAGCGAATTTATTTTTAACATGACAAAGAGTTACCTATTTCCATAATACTATGAGTGGTCGTAATGACTCATTTTATGAATTACAGCTGCTATTGATGTTTGCATCACTATTCTTTACAGTATAAATTGAATTTAAGAATAATTTGGTGAGTTTTATTTCTAAATTAATTGTCTAGGAATGTGGACCACATCTCTGATGTTTTTGTTGTTGTTTCTAGCGGAAGCTTTATATTACTGATTAAAAATACTAACAAATAATAATCTCCATAGCAGAGTATTACTGTTTTCTCCTGGTATTTATGTGATCAGACAGTTTCATTATTTCTGATAAATATATACACAATAGAGTTTTCAATAAATTTTTTGAAAAAGTTCTCCCACCTAATTGTTTTTCTTTCTCCCTCCTAGTCTGCTCCCAGTTTTCAAGAGGAGTCTTTGCTATTTTTGGATTCTATGACAAGAAGTCTGTAAATACCATAACATCATTCTGTGGGACTCTTCATGTCTCCTTCATAACTCCCAGCTTCCCAACAGATGGAACGCATCCCTTTGTCATTCAGATGAGACCTGACCTCAAGGGAGCTCTTCTTAGCTTGATCGAATACTATCAGTGGACCAAATTTGCATATTTGTATGACAGCGACAGAGGTAAGATGTGGTACTTTTTATCTGCATGCCATTTGCTAGATGTATCTCACTGAAATGCTGAATTAGCATTAGAAAAGTAAACAAGGAAAGGAATATTTACCTGCAGCAAGTGTAAGTGTAAGCTTAAATTTAGAAATGAGCTTTTGGGACAGAAACAAAATTGTTTAAATGAGAATGAAATTATTACAGTATGTATTAATGGAATTGCAAGCATGTGCTGATAAGCAATGTGAGATTAATCACATGTTGTAAACAGTTCCTATGAAAAGTTTTTTCTTTTTTTTTTTTTTTAAATAATCATCTAAGGAGAAAAAAAATATGAGCATGAAGGGCAATCTACTACCACAGATTCACATGCAAAATCGGTAGTTGGGCACCGAGCAAGCAAGAGTCTTGGATGCAGTTCTTGTGTCTTTGGAGATTGCTTTTGATAAATATTCAAGTTCCTCTCCTCTGTTGAGCTTGGTTTTTTTTTTGTTGTTGTTGATAAACCCAAATCCACTGCTTGTGAGCAGTTTACTCTCCAGTACAATCTTCTCGAGTCCTATGCCCTTTTATGGCTGAGGTAATAATAATATAACGGTTTATGAACTGGGAAAAATCACTTGCAAATTGTGGTATATTAATTAGTTTTCTGAGAAGAAGCAGCATTATACAGAAGTGTTTTGTTGTTTTTTTTTTTTTTTTTAACTGCCCTTTCTGGAATTCCATTATTGTCATTCTGTTTTCAAGTTCTCCTCACCTAGTAGTCCTTGGGTAACTTTTTTCTATTCTTACCTTCTTCTGTTCACTTTAAAACGGCTATTTTGTGGATCACCTGCATGTTCATTGGTCAGAGTTGAATATTAAGTGCACATTAAGAGTACTTGCTTAGCCAATAGTCTGTCAATCAGGTAGCAGTGTGCAGTACATGACCTGCGTGTGATTTATATTTAGGAAATACTGAAAAACACCTAGTTGTTCTTGTGAGCTGCGCTGGCTGAATCTGGCCAGGAACAACAGCGTGAAATTGTTATTTGCAGTCACCCTTTGGTTATACCTTTTTTTCTTATTTGTTGGTTTTAATTGTGGCAAGGCACCCCAGTGATAACAAGCTCCAAGGCATGAAACTCCTACCTTTATGCTGAATAAGTCGTTACTCCTCAGTGCTCCCACTGATTTCACAAGGTTAACCTGCAGAGTCAAGCAGTATGTAGTCAGCAACTTTTGCATAAGTGTTAATGTAGTGACAGTGACGTATATTTAAGGAATGATACGTAATTTAAAATGTTTCCACCTTCAGGAGTGAGGTAAAAAAGGCAAAGAGACTTACTCTTCATGGAAGCTGTGAAAGCTAATAGGAATTAGTTTGATGACTTATTCCAAAAGAATTATTTATCGCTACTTTTACAGCTCTTCTGTGGTTAGGGGCTGACTGGTTGAAGTGCAGGGCAGTTTCATATCTCATTCCTGTCTATAAGAAGTGAGGCCATTCAGTATATGCATGTCCAAGCTATAACTAGCTTAATACAGCAGTTGCTCTCATATAATGTGGATTAGTGTCCTTTATCCTCCTTGCCTCCTCTCTGTTGCCAGTACCAAACAGCGGGTTTTGGAAAAAGTAGTGACATTACTGGAGGATTCTATCTGTAATAGAATTGCTAATTTACTCAGCCTCTGTTCAGTCCTCCTTTTCAGAGCTCACTGAATTAAGAGTTTGTCTCATGATAACCAAAAGAGGTTCAGGCACACAGAGGCTCCCAAACAGAAGTATTCCTGCAGTTTAAAAAAAGCAACTGAAGTTGTTGGAGTTTTCTCTGCAGACTCCCACTTCCGTTACCACTCTCCAGATACTTCCACATCCACAGAAGTATTGCAGCAAATGCCTTTTTTTTGTTTGTTTTTCATTCTTTTGCAATGTGTTATTGCTATCAGAATAAATTGAACTGTATGGGGATGACAAACCTGCCACCTGTAAAAAGCAGGAAATCCAGGCAGCCATTTGACATCTCTGCAGAGAAACCGGAGACACCCCAACAAAAGGGAGTCCCTAGGAAAAATGGAAGATCAGAGGAGTAAAATATAGAAACCCTTTGTAATGGATAGTGTTAACATTAATAGCCCTTATTAATTTATGCATAACTGAGATTCTGTTTAACTCAGAGGAAACATACAGACAGATTGGAGGACCTGAAGTCTACTAAATGAGATCTGAAACAATGATTCAGATTATATCCGTTTCAGGGTTTTTTTTGTGGTTTGTTTTTCTTAATTATTTTAAATTACCATTTAAAATGTTATTTTGAGATATAGACTTATTTTAGTGCTTTTTAATATTTTAAGGTATTTCTTACATCTTTTAGTTTGCTTACATTATCTTTTCCTTTTAGCATGAGTTCTCCACATTTATCTTTAACATGTTATAAATGGTTTATATGTACCCTTGGACTGTAGTTATCTATTATTTTAAAAGAAATATTCATTGCATGACATATAAAACTTCATATCAGTCTTCTTTAAAGACAACATAGAAAACCATAACTATTTGAGATAATCATTGAATTTATCCTTTTGGAAGCCTGCCATTTTCTATCTTTGCTGATGACCAGTCTTGTATAGTGCTGTATGTTTATATTTTTTCACTGATAAAGCTGAATTGCTAAACACTGACCAATCTTAGTTTAATGAAGTATTTACAAACTATGAGATGAATTAATTTGTGTTGCTTTCTTTCTACATTTATGGGCAGAGCCACTATTATTTCTCATAAGAGTTATACCTGAAGCTTCCTTCACATACCAAGTCAGAAATTTGTCTCAAATAAATGAATCCTGGTGTTCTGTGGCTTCAGGGGAGATGAATGTGCAAAAATGTCAATTGGCTTGTGAGAAAGTATAATTTTTTTTTTTTTCTGTAATACTATCTGCTATCCTTAAATTGCCCTCTAGAATTATGTAGAATTCTCTGGAAGAAATTTAAATATAACAAGTCTAATTCCTGTACTTCTGGAAATTGTTAAAATGGTATTTGTTGTAGAGCAGAAATTAATTTCCAGCAGTAATTTTCATGTTTCTATACTCTGTTATTTAATCCTTGAAAAGGAAAACCGGTCAAGTAACATCTTCACTGATTTTACAGTATATTGTAGGCAGTTGCAGCTGTACAGACACATTCATGGCAGGAATGTGCCAAAAGGATAAAATGGAAGCAAACTTCTGTAGACTGCTTGTAGGTGTTAGCATTGAGCCTACTTATCTATATGGAAAAATACATCTCAGCACATCCTCTTTCATAATCAGGGGTATGACTGTAGGCAACAGAAATAATAACTTCATTAGCACCACTGGAGAACGTGAGAATTTTGCCACAGAGCTCAGTGAGGTCCAGGTTTAAATACAGTACTGCTCAAGTATTGAGAACAAAAACAGTTCAATAGCATCTCGTAATAAGCAGCTGATCCTCTTGCTGTAATTGGATCACTTTTCTCCTAGAAGACCTTTTTCCCAGCATGTGGAAGTCCAGCAGTGGATCAGTGAAACTGGCAAAATCCCATTCTGAAGATGGTTGAAGCAAAACCAAAAGGTTGTCCTGACAAGTCTCTACCCTGATTCCTTGCAGCGATGTAAATAAAAATTTCATGCAATAAGAAGTGACTGGGCCCACACATATCTTCATTTCTGAGTCCTAACAATGTGTGACAGGTCAAACAAGTTACAGGGAAATCTTAAATAAGTAATCTCATAAATCACGTTCTATAAGATTGTTAGTCCCGAAGCTTTATCAGTCATCTCTTCTGTTTTCTCCTGTGCTTCACTAGGCTTATCAACATTGCAAGCTGTGCTGGATTCTGCTGCTGAAAAGAAATGGCAAGTGACTGCTATCAATGTAGGAAATATTAACAATGACAGAAAGGATGAAACTTACCGTTCACTGTTTCAAGATCTAGAGGTAAAAAAGGAAAGGCGAGTGATTTTGGACTGTGAGCGCGATAAAGTCAACGACATTGTTGATCAGGTTTGCTATTCTCTGTTTTCCAGTGACAGCAGTTAGCTATATTCTATAAGTAAACGTAATGAGTTCATTTCTCTTGATCCTATTTTTGTGATTATTATACATCATTTGGAAGTGACAGGTTTGTATTGAGGACCACATATATATCAGGCAGAAAGTGAACATACAAATCCTATAATCCCTCCTTTTGCTCAAAGGCAAGGTAATTCTGTCTGGATGATCCCGTATGGTTATATATCCTGATTGTTAAAAAAAAAAAACAAACCACACCACAACAACAAAAAAACCTCATTAAGGCTATTTCACAACCTAAGTAGTATACTATATTGTATGTGGTTGATACGCTATTATATATGGTGCATTATAAATAGTTATATTATGTCTAGGGATTAGTTTTCCTTACACCTAGAAAGTATTTTCTACTTCTAATGCTTTTACCGAGAATGTTTTACATCTTGGGAAGGCTCTATCACAACAGCTTCTCGTTTCCATTTAACTCCCTTCATAATTCATGTTTCTGAGCTCTTTGTCATTCGTACTGTCCTTGGTTCTGTCTTCATTTTATCTCCCTCTTAAAGTGTGTTAACCAAAACTGGATGCTGTTTTCCATAGCTAAGGCCTCATGAGCTTTAAACAGAACAGAAAATTACATCTTCTCTCCACCTGCATATATATTCTTTGCCAAAATGATTTTTTTTTTCACTTTCTTTTTTACAACAGCATCACAGTGCTCAGATTCAAATTATTTCCTTACCTTCAAATCCACCTCTTCAATCCTAGTGTCTAGGAAGGTCTTACTGTCTCTGTATCTTCTTTTCACGCATGCAGAGCACAATGGAAAATTAAAAGGATAGCTCCCTGCTGGCTTGAGCTTGACCATGTGAGACTGCACAGCATCTGTAGGAATAAATCATCAGAGTGTACATATATTGGTTTGAAGCTTTTTTGAAGGGCTTGTTATTTTGGTCTTTGTTATGAAGGTCATTACATTTTGGAGAGGCTCAGGAAATGAGCAGTGTCCTAAATGGAGTGCATTGTATTTGTCTGTTTTATTTGGAATTCATATCCACAGAGTGTTTCTCTAATTTTCAAGATCAATTTGAATTTGATCCTGTTCTCCAGAGCCTTTGCAACCTCCCTATCATCTGCAGTTTTTTAAAATCATATTTTCTGGCTTGTTATCCATATCAGGAAAAATACTGAGTAGAGCAATGCTTGAGAGAAGTAGTACTTACAGGTCCTCTTCAGCTGGTTCTGTGTGGCTTTTCAAACAGTGGTTCACTTACCTTACAGTGATTTTTTTTGTCTTGTCCATGTTCCCTTAAGAGCTTGTAATGATGTCATACAGGACAAAAGCCTTATTAAACTCCAGATATGTCACATCTGCTGTTTCCTCATTATCTATTAGGCTAGCTATCATGTCAGAGAAAGGAAAGAAATTGCTTTGACATATTTTGATCTTGACAAGACTATATTGACTGTTTATCTTCTTCTTATCCTATAGATTCTTTTGAAATTAAGTCTGTAATATTCATTATAATCTCTTCCCTGATATGAAAGTTTGGCTGACTGTAAGTTTCTTCAGTTTCTCCTTTTACCACTTTTTAAAGACAAGAACCCTATTTACCCTTTAGTTATCACTCATTATTACCATCTTTGTTTGTTTAGTAATAGACCTATTATTTTCTTTGGCTTCTTTTATTTTGATTGCAGCTCTGGGATATTTTTCTTGCCCTGATTGCACTTTGATAGAGTCTGCCTTGTTTTGAGTCTTAGATTTTTCAGCTTATCCCCACAGACTTGTGCTGCTCCTTAAGCATATGGATGGACAAACCTTTGTTTCTGCTGTTTTGATTTCTAAGTCACTGAAGAATTCTAGATAACTGTGGATCAGCCACACAGGTCAGTTAATATAATTCCAATTAGTTGTTCTTGTCAAAGTAGTTTTCTGCTATGCCCTAGAATATGGTCTCTTAAACTGCTGTCAGCTGTTTCATATGGTTTTAGCCTTGAGATTCTCTCTGCAAGATACCCTAGCAGTTTCTAGAGTTTGGTCTGTTTTTTAGGTCCATTATCCTTACACTCTGTTTCTGTAACTTCCCTTCCTTACATAAAGAGATAAACACACTTTCAATTTTTCCAGTAGCCTAAAATAAAATCTAAAATAACTGTTTCTGTCTTAATTTTCTCCATCTCTTAAAATGAAAGTCTGTGCTGAACAAAGGATTTCTTGGCCTGTGAGTATCCTTTGAGTGTGTTCTTCTGATTTTCTTTTCTACAAGCAGATAATGTACTTCAAGTCTTGCTTTGCTACCAGATCTATTCCTTAAAAAATTATTTTAATTCCTGCTCCCAAACAACCCTCAGGAATTTCCTTCTTTTTATTAGGGTGCCTGAAGTAGATCCTTTGTATCAGTATCCTTTTTCTTTTCCTATGTATTTTTACTGAGACATGCAACAGGCTTTCTGTTGACCACATTTTTCTCCAATACTGAAGTATTACTTGCATTCTTGATATATAGAGCAGCAACTTCTTTACTTTCTTCCTTGCTTTCCATTCTTGAACAGAACTGTTGTAGTGCTTTGATTTATCCCACTAATTTTCTAAGCTGTGGTGGCAACCTCAGATTCACCCAATTATGCTCTGTAGTCCTTGGATCTTTATGTAGACACACAATGTGTTTGCAAAGTTGCTTCATTGTTCTTGTTTTTGTCTCGTTTTTTAGTTTCTCTTCCAGGTTTCAATTATTTATATAAGTTGAAGTTGAAAAATATTTCGGTTCCCCAACTTTCCTAAGACTAGTTTATATTCCTCTTCTCTGATTTGGCAGTTCAGTGTTACCATGCTCTTCATTATACAGCCTCTGTCTCTTCTCAACCAGCTTCCTTTGCAGAATCTCATTTCCCCCTGATAACACCCTTTGGGCATACATGGAATTACTGCCACTTCTTGTCTATCCCTGCTTGAGATGCTAGTCTAAACTCGGGACACTGGTGAATACCTTTTGTATTCACCACAGCTCCTTCATCATGGCTTTCGGAGCCACCACTGAATCTTCCCGGAGTTTTAACTGGCATCATCCTTAGTGTTTGTATGGATGAGTGGCACAGGGCAATGTTTTAGAAAGCTAGATTAATGAAATAGTACCCAGTGACAGTTAGAGCAGAGTTACTAATCATTGATCTAAAGACTTGGAACTACTGGTCGTTTTCTCAGATACCAATGACAAAGCAGCATTTTATGTAGAAGAGCTAATCTGTTTGGTCTAACTGAAATTTCTTTGGAAGCAGCAGCTGCATAAGAAATACATCTGAACACAGTTCTTAAACCTTTTAATAAGTAATGAGTTTTAAGTAGTCTGAAACAAGTAACTGTTTTGGAATACTTAAGTTCATATATCATGTATATATTAAGCTCAAAAGAGGAATAAATGAATAACTTCTATGGCTTATGTAATGTGATCCCACTCAGTCCCAAACTGTAGTAATATAAAACTTAGTGTTAAACACTGCCTTCAGTTATATTCCTGTAACTTCATTAAATCAAGTATGTGGAATGTCATTCATTACTAGCCTGATATAAGTCACAGGATACCTATTCTGAATATTTTAGTTATATGTCAAATGGGGAGATAAATGAAACATCCTCTCTTGATTTAAGTTGTTCTCATTGTTCAGAAGATGGAAGAAGCCTTTAGAGTCCTCTTACTTCCCATATCCTTTCTCTGGAGAAGTATTTTGCTTCAAAATGTAAACTTTTCCATGCACACATAGTCTAAATTAGGCTTATTTGGGAGAAGAATCCATACTACATGCCTGCCAGTGGAGACTGCTCAGAAACCACCGGCTGGCTTTGAGGGAGATTATGAGGAAGCCTTAAGGCAATAAACAACAATTTGAACCTTAGAAGACTTCCTCATAATGTAGATGCTTTCATTAATGTCAGCGGGCTTTTAAACTTTTTCTAGTTCAAGGAATGTTACAATTCTGCTACAAAGGGAGCAGAATCTAAGCAGGAATCTCTGAGGCACAGTGCTTCTACTGCTTGATGCCTGCTCCCTCCTGTCCAGGTTGTGCCTTTAATACACAGCATAGTAATTAGCATTCAGTTCCTCTGTTTACAGATCTTGGGACTTGGACTTCAACATGACTAATTTCCACTAGCAGAGAGTATGTTCAGTGGTGCGTTAGGTAAAATGAAAAGTAAAACACTGAACAAGCTCAGTATTGCATGTGATAAAGCTCATAACTAGCTTTTACATCATACTACATTTTATAGTTTTTAAGTCTCAGGTCCATATATCAGGTGAACATTATCCATTACGGGGGTATTTCTTCTTTTTTGCAGGTTATCACAATTGGTAAACATGTTAAAGGTTACCATTATATCATTGCAAATCTGGTAAGCATTTTTAATATTTAAAATACCTGTATTACTCATTTTACTGTTTATGGAAGCACATCAACTAGTATTTTGTTTCAAATGCGTTTTAGAAAATAGAAAAAAGCTAAATGTCTCTATCCTTGCTAAATGAATGCATGTATTGAGATGGTATTTGTTGTATTGGCTGAGTCTTTTCAGGGCTTAAATGCCTCCTGTGATATTCCCATTAATAGGATTGAAGGTTGCTCAGCACCTTCAGTAGAGCTTTCATCCCTTTTTCTACATACTTTAGAAAAGTAGGGTATGGAAGTCAGAAAAATGACTTTCCACATTATAGACCGATACATTCATTCAGTAAGCTGATGTTTCTTCTCTCACCTCTAAAGTACTTAAAAATTACAGTTCTCAGCTTTCATTCTGCTAGACTAGTGAGTCTCAGCTTTACACATTGTCATTCCTCAGATGGGTTTGGTAATCAGTTTGAATTAATCTTTTCTTGAACATAGGTGATCAGACAGTACAGCTAATAGTGTTCCTAAGTTAAGGAAACTCACTAAATTTTGTCAAGGTAAATTTTTTTTTAGAATTGTGTCTTTAAGCTGAAGGGCCATTTTACTGATGTTAAAGTCAACAGCACTTATTTACTGAAGCTAGGGAATCTAATCCAATGGTTTTTTTGTAACAGATAAAGCAAATTCTGCAGGCTTGAATCTCAGTTATTCTGTTCCAGAAAAGAGTTTTGGCATTTGCATGGTGTGAATGCCTCTAAATAATTTTTGTCATCGTTTATTCTTGGACTGTGATAGCGTTTGATATAAATTCCAGCAGGGCCCAGTGTGGTCTGTCTTCCATGGTCCTTTGAGGGGCCTGAGGAAACGGAACGACCATAGCATGTTTATCACATTTCAGACATAACCTCTGTCTCCTCCCAGCCTTTAATCAAAACAATTTCCCCCTCCAAGCAGGCAGTATTCTGAAGAATCACCTGTGTTGCTAGGCAGGTGTGAGGAAGCCTTATACTCTAAAGGCCTTTTTAAAAGCTGAACAGTGGGGTTTCGTTTTTATATTTATTAATTAATTTTTAGCATAAAGAAGTTAGGGTCCTGATATTCACAAAGCAAGTGTAAAAGTCTTACAAAACTTGAAAAATTCCCTAACTGTTAGATATTTGTATTTTGCATTGCAAATGTTGTATAAATAGTATTTTGAGTCTTAAGGGAAATAAACATTTCAGAAAAATTGCCTAGTATATTTCATTATGTTGACTGGTTGCTATTTTAGCCATTGCTTTAAGTTTGTAACAATAAGCCCATAAGATCTAAAACTTATTGAATCTGTATTCTAAAGCTGTTTAATATCATATTTGCTTCCTACAGATTTATACAGTTTAAATGCAAATATTGTAGATCTTTTGTATAATATTATATAAAATATATATGGTAATGATTTTAAAACTGTTTTTTTCTCTGTCAGAAAGAAAACTTATCTAGTACTTGATCACATCCCATCTTCTTCACTGAATCCACCTTCTTTCTTCTTTTCTTGACTGTAATAATGTTCTCCTCCAGTGTGATCAGTCAAGAATTTGGTCTACTTTAAGAATAAAATATGCTGATAGATGGAGAAGGCATCAAAGTATACAATAAACGTTCCCGTTCAAGCTCACAATAATATTGCAGAAAGTTTCGTGATCCCTGTAGAAGTGTCTGTATTAGTATGCAGCAACACGTCATTGATGAGTATCATCATATGCAATAATTAAAGATTACCTAGTACGGCAATAGTAGCAACTTCTGATAAGGTGGTCTGAGGTTGCTACTTCTTTTTTTGTTTACTCAGAGCATTCATTTAAACTGAAGTGTCTGAAATCAGTATGTCATGTAAATTCATTTGTGTGGTTATTTGGGGCAAGTTAAAACACAGAACATGGAGAACAGAACATACCTACTGTTTGTAAGAATGAGAAGTAGTTCTTCATGCTGGAGGGAGGAGGCAGGGGAGATGGTAAGTCCTTCCACAGGCTTTAATGTTCCAGGCAAAAAGAGGACTCATCTGTGGCTGTAACTATTCCTGGCTAAAACTTGCTTGCCTAACTATTGTTAATGTCAGCGTTCCCTTTCTCATTTAAGCAGTCCCACTGAAATTATATGGGATTGTTTCGGAAAGTAAGCATGGCATGGACAGCTCCACTCAGCCCTTGCTCTATAAAGGTATGTGTTTAGTGAGCAACAAGAGGTATTACAGGCTGGCAGAGCTGACAACTTACTGCCGGCAGCCCAGGATTTAAACTTGGATCCTGTTTGAGGAAAATGTTGGCTTACACTTCTGCAGTAGAAGTCATATGGTAACTCTTTATTTGTATATGCTATTGAGAGATCTGCCAAAACTGGTGCAATAACAGACACAATGTTTTCTGTGCCCAGGGATTTACTGATGGAGATTTGTCAAAAATTCAGTTTGGAGGAGCTAATGTCTCAGGATTTCAGATAGTTGACTACGATGATCCTCTGGTGTCAAAGTTTATACAACGTTGGTCAACACTGGAGGAAAAAGAATATCCCGGTGCACACACTAGTACAATTAAGGTATGTCTTACATTTGTTTTAACCATGACGGAGGTAGAGGAAATGAGAGAATTGGAATAGAAAGACAAGAGGCAGAGAAAGCCCTTCAAAATTAGCTGTGCCAACGCAATTTTATATTTCTCTTGGGTACTTTTAACATTCACTATCATAGGACTGGTTGAGTAAAGATACTGCAGTGTCAAAAATGTTCCAAGACAATTTTAATTTTTCTTGTACCACTGTAAATCTGCACTTGACGGCTTGTTAGGTAATTGTTTTGGATGTGATGATACATGAAGTATCTACTGACTTTTTTTGGTTTTTCTCTTTCTCTGTGTTTTGAAATGTTTTAAAGGAAAATATGTAGTCATACGTAGGCTTCCAGGGAGCACAGATCTAGCACTTTCTGATATAACATAATCTCCCAAAGAAATGGTAAGACAGTTACTTTGAGACAGATGCCTAAATCCTACAAAGACTTAAAAATAAATGGTGTGCCTGAGGTACAGAATCATGGTCTGATTTCAGGCCTGAGTGAAACAAGATGTGACACGGGGCAAGTGGTTAAACTTCCTTACCTCAGTTTTCCCTCTGGATGAAACTGCAATAATAGTACCTTCTTACCTTACGTGACCATTATGAGGATCAATTAGTGCTTGCAAGATGTTAAAAAGAATAACGCAATTTTAACGCCAAATAATTTTTCTTTTAAGTAATACAATCAGAAATTTTATTAAGAATGAGTATACTTAAATAACTCCAAAAGGTATTAAGACAAAAAGATAAACAGCAAATGTTCTAGGCGAAACTTTTTTTTTTGTGCTATAGTTTGAATATGAAGCATATTCTTGATTTATAATGAGATGGATAAGAAGTTTCAGCAAGGAATGTAAGAACAATTTTTTAAATTCCTGGAACAAAAATCCTTAAAATCGCACAACCTTAATTTAAATTGAAAAATAAAATTTGTAGGTTCCCTTTTTCTGAGGCCAAATTTATGGGGGACTTAGTCAAAGCTATGATTTTTCTTTGGTTATTTTTGTATTTTAAAATCCTTCGGACAGAATAAGTGAATTTCTCATTTGATGTTTGACAAAGTAAACTAGTCTGTGTCATGTCTTTAGATACATTCATATTACATGCATGTAATATATGTAATATATAGTGCTCTCATTTAGGAAAAAGGGAAGGCATGTGGCTGTGGGTGATTGATGCAATTCTTTTGTCTCTGATTTTTGAGTGCCCAAATTACTTACCTACCTACTAATGTTGCAGAATTGTAGTCTGGAAATAATCACTGTGAGGTGCATGACTAAAGTAAAAAAGTCTAACTGAAACCAAGATGCAGTTCTTCTTGTTAATGGAAAAATAAATTAGTGGGACACAGTGCTAAGGATTCTGGTACCTCTGATATTCCTTACGTTAGGGGAGAAATCATATGTGTGTTAGATAAGATGAAGTGGTTGCCATGTTTTCTTATAGCATTAAAATCAGTAACTTTATCACAGGTATTCCCTTTATTTCTTCCATGATAGGTCCTTTCAAGTCTACTAGAAATTGAAAGGGTTGAAGGAGAGTATTTGGAATATCTTATGTTTTTGAGGTTTATTTTGTTATGGATAGGAAAAGTAAATGAATTGAAACATTTATTTTCATGAATTTCATTAACTAAAAACACATTTTAAATTGAATTAAAAAGGCTGATCTGTCTTCCTTTATATATTGTCTGCTCAAGAATTATACAAGCGCACTGACATTCAGTCAAGAGATGGAAACTTATGTTAAATTATCAGATAAATTATAAATGCTAGAGGTACTGATGGGGGGGAAAGTGGATGTATATTGCACTGCTTGGAGCGATTGATTGTATCAGTTACTGTATTTCTTTGTGTAGCTTTCTGTCTTTTACCCTTATACACATATCACTTGTCATTTTTGCCTGCCATTACACGTAACGGCAGAGCTATGTCACATTTAATTCCCATTCTTGAGGGAGCTAGAGGCAGAGCAGAATCATAGAAATCATAGAAACAGGGCAAGAAAGGTCTTTGAGCAGTCAGTCTCCCGGTCCATCCTCTGTGCCTGAAGGCAGAATCCGCTATACCTGTGCAGTTCCTGTGGATAGTGATTTCACAACTTCCCCAAGCGTTCTATTTCGGAGCTTAAATAATCTTATTTTTTGTTTTTTGTCTAACCTAAATCAGCCTTTATATCGCCTAATCTATTACTCCTTTATCTGCTTCTAATGGATATGTGGAAGTTCTCCTTTTTAGCTCTACTTCTGTATTTGAAAATGGCTACCATATTTGTCCTTGCTTTTGTCCCTGCTAAACTACATAATCCCTTTTCCTTTGAATTTTCTACTCCCAGATCTTGTTCATCATTTTTCTCTGGAACCTTTCTAATTGGTACCCATCTTCTTTGAAATGCCAGGCTGGGTACTGCACCACTTCTGAGTACTGTGCTGTAGAAATCGAAATAATGGCTTGATGTATCTCGGAGACAGCACTCCTTTCAGGGCTTCCTTTTGTGTTGCTCTCTCTTCTCCCTGCCCCATCATGACACTGTTGAAATATATTTATCATGAGATACACGCTAACATCCAGATCTTTTTCTGCATTGCTTTTCTGTACTGCTGCCAATTTAGACAGTCTCATAACATGTCTGTGCACATAATTATTCCTTTAAAGTACAGGATTTTTCATGTATTCTTGTTGAATTGCATTCCCTACCTGTCCTTCCTGAACATGCCATTCCTTCTTATATTAATAATCTAGCCATGTTTGTTATCCTTTGCTTCTCGGAATAGTGTATAAATATCTAAGTTACTGAGCAGGTTAACTCACTGGTCTCCTATTTGTCCCTTCTGTGATCTTATGAATAACCTTTCTCCCCTTTTGGTTTTGAGGCAGTTATCCAAATTGTTACTGTTTATAAATGAGCTTTTGCCACCCTCTTTGGTTTTGAGGCAGTTGTCCAAATTGTCAGTGGTTATAAATGAGCTTTTGCCACTAGTTCCCATGGGATCTAGGAAGCTGTCGCTGCAAATTCTGTATGAAGCAGTTAGGAAGGCTAATAAAAGTCCTGTATTATCAATACAGAAATGAGAGGAGGTTACATGGCCCTAGCAGGTAGTTTTATCCCTGGGATTGCAAATGTTATATCTCACTGCAGGCAATAGCATTGCAACTGTGTTGTATTATCTTCCTTCTTTAATCCAAAAGGAAGCATACATTCATTTCACATTATAAAATGCAAGTCAATGGAATATGACTGAGCTGACATGGCAAGACATATCACAGCATCCACGTACAGTCCTGAAAATGGAGAAAGACACCTCTTTCTAAGAAAAAGTGCATTTCAAAGGAACATGCTTTTCAAGAAAGGAAAACATTGAAAACCTGTTCCATAGGTGCCCAGAAGAGGACCTGGATCAAATTGCTTTAAAAATGTATCTTTGCAATTTATGAAGTATTAATTATAAGAAACTGCAGTCTTAGGACGTAGATGAGAAGAGCCACTGATTTTATTTGTTGCTGCACTGTACCTGTGCTGATAAAAACCACAAGATTTAAAGATTAAGCAGGACACTTAAAACTAGTGCTTTTCTGCCTTTTTACAAAAGGTCTTCTCATCTTTCAAAAGTAAAGCTGATACACTGTTTACCTCAGCTTAAATTTGAAATATATCTGTTGTAACCAAGGGTGTTATCAGTCTCTGCATGCAATTCCAGAAGAGCTAATAATGTGCAGATCTTGAAACATACCACTGAGCATCGTGGCGAATTTCTTTGTCAAGTAGCAAAACAAAAGCCACATTTGATTTTATAAAGGCCTAAAAATAACAAGTTGAAATCCCATTTTGATCCGTTATTGTGTATTTACAGATATGCTGGACTTTCTGAGCCTTAGTGTTGTGGCAGGCTATTATGTCTAAGGCAAACTTCTTGCTGTTGTGGAAGGACACTGAAGAACACATCTGTTCAGATCCAACTGCTCCAACTTCCTAATCTGATTAACCCATTCTGTCTGGGGCAGCCTTTGGTCTAATTCCAGGAAGAAGCTCAATTCGTACCTATTGCGGGCTAGTGAGACATGATAAGTACTAGGCTTAAAGTATACAAGTGTAAAGGGGGACAGGAGTGGCTGGAGAGCAGCTGTGCAAAAAGGGATTTGGGGATGCTGGTCGACAGCAGGCTCAATAGGAGTCAGCAGCGTGCCCTGGCAGCCAAGAGGGCAAACCGCATCCTGGGGTGCATCAAACACAGCATCACCAGCCAGTCAAAAGAGGTGATTATCCCACTGAGTTCAGCGTTGGTGCGGCCTCACCTCGAGTACTGTGTGCAGTTCTGGGCCCCATAATTTAAGAAGGATGTGAAGGTCCTTTAATACATCCAGAGGAGGGCAACAAAGCTGGTGAGGGGGCTGGAAGGCATGTCCTATGAGGAGCAGCTAAGGACTTTGGGCTTGTCTAGTTTGGAGAAAAGGCAGGTGAAGGGCGACCTCATGGCTCTCTACAGCTTCCTGAGAAGGGGATGTGGAGAGGGAGGTGCCAAGCTTTTCTCCCTGGTATCCAGTGATAGGACATATGGGAATGGTTCAGAGCTGCACCGAGGGAGGTTTAGACTGGGCATTAGGAAGCATTTCTTTACCGAGAGGGTGGTCTAACACTGGAACAGGCTTCCTAGAGAGGTGGTCAATGCCCCAGGCCTGTCAGTGTTTAAGCGGCATTTGGACAATGCCCTTAACAACATGCTTTAACTTTTGGTCAGCCCTGAATTGGTCAGGCAGTTGGACTCAATGATCGTTTTAGGTCCCTTCCAACTGAAATCGTCTATTCTATTCTATAAGCCATCCTACTCTTGATGAGCTTTTCTAAGAGCAACCTTAGGCTTGGTGTGTGCAAGAAGTATCTGAGACAACTTGTGTATGATATATACAGAAACTACGTGCAGCGTGCAGAAAAGAATTTGGGGCTGCCTGGTTGAAAATCTAAAGCAGCTCAGACTTGTAGAGAATACT